TTGGAATTAAAATGACTTTAAACTAAACAACACTAAACACAATAGCTGTGTACAAGCCGCCAAACAAACCAATCTATTATTAGTGTAGCAAACAATTTTTCAGATAAATAGCCCAACACTCATGGTCAGAAATCTTAATACTAAAGTACGGAAAGTGAGGTTGTAACTCAACAACTTGTCCAGGTAAAAAAAATAGAATTTATATCTTTCTCTAATACAAATTTACTCTCTCCTTCCAAACCTACTTGCTATGCAACCAAAGCCAATGTTATCCCAGATATGTTGAATATTGACTAAAATAAGAACATTCACTCACCATTATACTAAAGAGCAGTAACAGACCTCGACTCTGACCATTGCCCGGAGGCCATATACCTTTCGATGCCAATTGGCAGAGCAAACAAAAAATAATTAAAGGTAAATACCATCTTTAATAAATATGGTGAATTAATGCTTTCCAATTTTACCCCAAAATATTAGTAACTCTAAGAATGATTAAATAGAAAAATTATCTAAAGCGGTAATTGTGGCGTACAAAAAATTAAAAAGACTTTTCAGAAAACTATAAAGTAAACCAATGCCGTTAAAACCATTAAATCGAATTAACAATGATAATTTGGGGCGTTTTTGGCAACGATCAAAACTGACCAGTGACCAAATATTAAGCTTGATAAGATAATGCGAGTGACAGAAACACGTATTGAAAAACTACACTTACAAAACTACAAAAAATTGCAGAAAACCACTATAACTCTAGAAACCTTTGATCAACTGTTAAACTATACGCCAAACAAAGAGGGAAAACTCTTTTTTACGGCATGGTTCACGAACAATATAGTCTGACAAACAAAAATCATACTTTCTGCACATTTAAAAAACACCTTCAAACCACACCCCAATCCCGATGTACTATTTAATGCGGAAATAACAAATCACATCAGTTCTAATACTTGCACTGCTGCACTTCCAATAAAATTCATTTTCCCGTCTGAATTTCTCTCAGAGAATAAACTCTTAAAATGAAGACAATCTGTGGGTATCGATGGTATTAGTAACAGTCGCATCTAAATACTGAATAAATCGTATATTGTGGCTCTAACGGAAAACAATTAATGCTTCTTTACGATGCAACTGTTTTCCCACAGCTTAGAAAATAACTGTCATTTTACCTCTCTGTAAATAAGGGAAAACCTCAAGGTTAATTGACAATGTTAGACCACTCAGTTATAATCCAAGGCTTAATCCATACAAAGCTTATTAAATTCATTCAGCGTATTAAAGCTACCGCCTTAAAAACTTTCTATCACCCACCAATAACAAGTCTCACTGAACCTGTAGCTAACGGTTTCACCAAAAGAAACATTCCGCGACAGTCTTCCTTGACACACGCCAGGCGTAAGAAGGATATGGCATCGAAGCCTCCTACTAAAAAATCACAATCTAGGTACACCTGAATACATTCTTCAGATTGCATTCAACATTCAACATTCTTCAGAACGTATCCTTACGAGCAAATCGTCTATAATTAAAGTCAACATAACTGCAACCAGTGCTCTTATCAGTGCCACACGAGTAGCATAGGGTACTTGCCTTACTATTTATCATTTTCATCGATTCATTCCAATCAAAGGCGAATTCCAAATTGCCTTATATTCTGATGACGTTGCATTATTTGTCTCTCACTGTGATATTATAAAAGTGAAGGGGCATATGACCTGAACATTTATATGTTGAATGGACACTGAAGTGGGGAATAAAGTCAAAACACATTAAATTTCTCGCAAATATATTTACATTGCGCCGACCGAATCATCCCACTAAGCATCAATGGAATTTATATTCCTAAAACTTTCTCACCGGTGAAGTATTGAAGAGTGCTTTTCAATTTGTCGAACGTACTTCGTAAGAAGTATAAGTTTTGTAAGCCAGGAAAAGTGAAAAACTCTTATTGCCTTGCCCTTGTGGCGAAAATGTGGATGAAACTTGTCTCTGTCCTGTGCTGTATCTCGTCCCTGCCCAGTACTGTGTTTGGGTCGACATTCCGGTACGCGCCGTGGCCGACCACCGGTGGCCTAGCTTATCTGTAATTGGATAAGGGGAAATCTTGTCCCTATATTTGGTAAATTTCTTTCTTTAACACGTGACAACGAAAAAGTGGATAAATATTGTCTCTATATTTAGAAAATTACTTCCTTTAACACGTGGTGTAGTCAGAATCCATGGTCTGTCATGGCCTTCGACATCGAAAAATTGGATGACATCAAAAAGTCTGTCTATCCGTGATCCATGTGTGGTTAAAGCTAGCGCCTAAACCGTTCAGCTAATTTTCTTCAAAATTGATATTTCTCGGTGGATTTCAATGAACTCGAGAGCCCCTAATTTTTAATTCCGATATTTTGATTTTTTAAGTCGCGAGTTAAATATTCTCCTATTAAATGAACTCATAAGTACGATAGCTCACCACAGCTACCAAAATCTTTACGCTTTACCTTGTTTCACATTTTTTAATCTCTGTCATTATTCTTCACAGCCCGATATTTCAAAATTCCCTAGAGATACACATAGTCTGCCGTAACTTCTAGTTTCGCCTTGCTTAACGTTAACATGATTTTCGTTTCTTGTACTTTTCACCGCTCATCTAACCGCAGATCATATGTCACATTAAAATCTTATTTTAGTATCTGTCGATGTAGGGAAGAGCTGTGCAATTGGGTGTATATGCGACGGACTGTTGAACTAGTTCTTTAAAGAAAACAAAACGTTATCTTCTATTCCTGCGGAAAAGACTGCAAGTGCAGAAAATGTTCACAATATATTACCCTTTCGTAAACCACAGAAACTGAAAATATTTTAAAACAAAATTGTAAAAAGTGATTATAATATATTGCCAAATACATGTATTGATAGTTTTTAAATATTAATATTTCCTTCAGTTATATTCTGGGGTACCTGTATATTCTGGGGTACCGAACGAAATGGCTGAGGGCGTAGCTCGATGACTTCGAATTTCGGGGGCCCGGGTTCAATCCCCGTGCCGGTCATCCTGACCGGCGTGTTCATGGTTTCCTCCCATCCATCTATGAGAATGCTGGGATGGTTCCACTGAGAGGCCATGACCGCAAAACCGGGTTCACTAGCTGAATTCGTTAACAACTGATGTCACGAAGGTTAAGCGAATTCGGGACATCTCAGGTTCCTGGGTGGATAACCGGCAAGAAACCACGGGATCTAATGGCGTCGAGGCCAATTGCCCTTTACGGGACATATAAAGTCAAAATACAAATACTTAACACTTTGGGGTCCGCAGTGACTCCCCTCATTTGTACTCTCCTGGTTCGGGAAAATCAGCGAGTGTTAAACTCCTCCAGAGATCTAAATATCCAACAAGGAGAGACAAACCAAAAAAGTTCCGTAAAGCTCAAACCTTAACATGATGTCTGCCAAGATCATTTTAAAACCTGGTATTTCGTTGGTGCCAAGATAACTGTGAAACCAGTGTATTGTGAGGCCATATGGTCTCATGGAACACTTTATTTGTAGTTAGCCGTGAAACCACATGGGTATTCAAGGCAGTCAACGAGTCGAGGTATGGACGGAAGAAGTAGTTGATGTCAATGAAGGAAATTGAGTTTATTTCCTGAGTTCAATATCGGAATAAATCTGTACTAATATAAGTAAATTCAACCGAGATCGTAAAATCTAACCGAAATCGATACCACAAAAAATGTATAAATATATGTGAAATTTTCACAGGTTGTCAGTATTGTCGTGTGTCCTTGCAGAGTTTGATAAAGATTAATATAACACAAATGCGGAAAATGAATTTAAATAATATATTAGTATATGCACTACGATCATTATTTTTCACCTATCTGCTGTCTACCCATCTCTTCAGCGAGATTGGTTCCTAGTACATTACGCCATAGGTCAGTAGCGGTGCTGCAAAACTGGTACCTTATAGCTTGTTAGAAGCAAGTAGCAGTGCATAAGATAAATATTTTTAATCTAATAGCAATACACTGTAAAATAAAATGACAGAAAATGACAGATATGCATATATTTTAATTTCAACAAATTACATTAGCAATAATTTTAAACACCGTTGTTTATATAAAATTCTTCGTTTTCTTCTTCCACAAAGATTGGATACGAAGAAACACCGAGCAACGACAGATATTTTTCTCGTTACACTTTGTTTCGTTCTGCAACTCATGTACATTTTGTTCGTCAATGCACTATGGATATATTCTTTTAGGCAGACATTTTTCTGCAACACATCTTAAGTATTTCATTAACCTATGCTATAACATCGGCAACGGCGGTTGGGGCACATTACGTCACCATTTAACGTGAGTAAAATGATAAAATTCAAATTACTATAAAAAATTAAGACTTTCATTGTACCTATTCATAACTGCAATACTGTAAAAAATGCACCTGATATAAAAATTAACGAAGTGAAAATATTTAAAAAATACATTTGCGTAAGTTTAAATTTTGACATCAAAATAAAGCATTAAAAAATCTCAATTTTACGGTATCAAGCACCCAATGAAATGCATTTTAATTGCACATCGTGATAAAACATAAAAATCTCAATTTTACGGTATCAAGCATCCAAAAAAGTGCATTCTAATTGCACATCGTGTTACGAAAAGATTAATATTTAATAAGGTTAGGGCCCTAGAATAAGACATTATAAGGAAAAAAATCGTATCTTTCGCCGCAACATTATATAACTTTCTCTATACACGAGGCCTGCGTCACACGAGCGTTGCGTTGACGCGCGTTAAGTAACGCGCGTCAACGCAGCGCTCGTATGAAACAAGCCTAAGAAGTAGGCACGAAAGTGGAAATAAATACAATAAACCCAAACAATTATAAAAGAAAATAAACAATTTTATTCACAAACAACACGTACATTGGCTGAAACACAAGATAAAACTTATTTTGTTCCCAAGCAACGCGGAGCCAGGAGCCGCGAGGGGAGAGGCGGGCGCTCAGTCGAGGAAGACGTCGTCGAAGGGCACCTTCTCGAAGATGCGCTTTGTGATCTGGTGGAAGACGGCGCCGAACGTCTGCTCGAACGCCGGCCGCAGCTCGCCCCACAGGTCGCGCCAGTTCTCGTTCATCAGCGTGTTCATCGTGTCACCTGCAACACCCCATTCCAAAGTGAATGTGATTGATTGATTGGTTGGTTGGTTGATTGATTGATTTATTGATTGATTGGTGTTTCCTGGCGCGTGAATTACCAGGGTCATTAGTCCCGGAAGTGCAGTGCTAAGGAGTATTGAATTGAATTAATGCCTTATTTTACGTGGCGAGTCTCGGGCCATCAGGCCCGCTCTTCCATCTGACCACACAAATTTCGCTACGCTCCTTTCATCAACTAGTAGAGGAAGGAGGTATTTCTTGGGCGGGAAACAGGGGATTTTGAATTTAGCTCAGACGCTTGAGGATCATTTACATGCAAGTAAATCGACTAACATGGGACAGCCGGCTTTACTTCCCCTTCGAAGGAAGGCGTACGAAGGATTTTTTCGCCCTTAATAATCCACGACTTCGATCGGGTTTGAACCTGCCTGTCCGATAGGTAACCGTTACACCATCGCCGCGCGCGATGAGTGGAGTAGAGACAATGGTATGTACTGCTGCTGCGCAAAAAAAAACCGGCGAATATTCGCCAGAAAAAACTCTTATTGCATGTCACTGCAAGCGAAAAAGACCAGATGCTAAATATAGATGAAAATCCTCTATCACGTGGTGTAATCCATGTTTTGTGAGTTCTTCATACTCAAAAATCGATTGAAGGCAAAACGTCAGTCTGTCTATCTATTCGTCGTTGTATCGTTCGTATCTATCGTAACAATGGTGTAATGAGCCGATCTGATGGCCGATAATCGCTAAAGCAGCAGTGCCGTAGCTGTCTTACACCAAAGAATCGCAGGTTCAAGTGCCGCCTCGGGCATGGTTGTGTTGTGTATATATTTGTATGTGTGTGCCGTCTTTTCACTCTTCAGTATCATTATCATCATCGTCATCATTTCATTTTCCGTACCCCCGGGGTGACAACCGAGGGGGATAAAACTCGGATCGAGCTAAATGCTGACCTCCAGATAAAATTACATGCTCCTGCCACCGAGGTAATGGTACCAAGCCCCGGTAAATGTAGGGTTCATGTACATGTAGTCCAAGCCGGCCTAATCGCGAACAAAAAAAAGTACAATGGTGTAATGATTTTGTACAGTAATTCAGACAAAAAAGGATTGAGCTACGAAATATTAAATTAATCTGTAATCATTGGATTCATATGTTGGGGCCATTACATCCATAACCACGTTATTAATTATCGCCAAATACTAAGAGATTAGGTCACAGCTTACCAGATCCGACAGCCATTTCCGACAGACTGTAGTAAGGTTAAACTTGTATCTCTGAACTATGTGGAGCATACGGTCGTACCTTGTTTGTTTAGTTGCTATTGTTTAAATGTCAGTCACGTAACTCGTAGTGCGTATGATCAAGACATTTCAAATGCTAAATCTCCCTATTAAACTTCAATGACGACCGAGACGTTGGCAGATATGTCTGGGAAGCGGCATCTTTCAGAAACTAAGATCGTCATTAACTCCTGTCACGGAATTTAATGTCATGTTAAACTGATTATCCAAGATCTAATAGGGATTGAAGAATCGATTATAGACTGTAGACAGTATAGGTTCCCTTTTTCTCCGTATTTATTTTAGCACAAAATTGAGGGAGGTTATAGGAGAACTATTACGATTTTCCGACTTGAACTTTAAATCGCGGGTTTTTGTTGAGAAAGAAATGAGAGATTTTTGCCTTATTTGGTGATTTTTGCTTTAAATGGAAGGTAGTTGGTCCAAGATGTGTTTGCTAGCCATTATTAACAGATTACTTAGTATAACCACTAAATTTTAATAAAATCGAAGCAGAAACACTTTTCCACCCTTCATAAACATTAATGTTTCTGTTAATCAGTCAATTAACCGGCTAAGAGAAGGCGTAATGAAAATGAAATGAAAACTGGAATGTGTTATGACAGCGTGTTGCAGTTAAAGCCGCTACCCAGAAGACCTCTAAAGATTACGAGTATTAAGATAGATAGATAGATAGATAGATAGATAGATAGATAGATAGATAGATAGATAGATAGATAGATAGATAGATTTATTAAAGTTCGCTTTGAGCTAATGCTCGGTGGCAAACATGATAACAATTAGAATTAGAATTACAGAACAATTTTAACATTTACAATTAGGTTTACTATTAGAATTAGGGGTCAATATAATAGTTCCAATTTATTTCTAGCTACTCTAAATTCACTTCTAGTTTACATAACACTTCACTTCACTACACTACACTACACTACACTGCACTATTCCTGGGAGAATATACAAGTACACGTATTTGAAATCACGCGAGTTCGTAAACATTCGCGGTAGCACGAGGCCATCAGGAGAAAGCTCACGTGAACACATTTATTCCTGCTGCATCAAATAATATTATAAGAGCGTAGCTTTCCGCGGCAGGAGTCAGTATTTACTTGGCTGTCCTGGTGACGCCGCGTCCATGGCGAAGGTGCCGAAGTTTCGGTCGCCATTCTGCGACCTTCCTCGGCATTACGCCCTGAGGAAGGTCGCAGAATGGCGACCGAAACGTCGACACCTTTGCCATGGACGCGGCGTCACCCGGACAGCCAAGTAAATAAAAATAATATTATACCTTCAAAGAAAAGTGCATAGTTCTTATACGGTCAGTTCACCTCTCTACCTCGGCCAACTAGGCTGGCCTAAATGAGATGCACGATATAATATGGCATATAATATGTGATTACGTTTCTGTGTGTGAATATGTTTGATGTTTCTGTGATAATGCTTACGTAAGGCAGTCAATTATGCAGGACAAAGTGAATCAATTATGTAAAAAGACGTAGGCAGGGGTCAGTCTCCAGATAGGAAACGAAACTCCTTGATCTTCCGAGTTCAACTCCCAGGAGTTATGTGTCTACGTCTCTTCTGCCTCCTTCGAGACCCGCTCCTTGTAAATTTTATGACACGAGACGGTCTCGCGTCTCTCACTTCCATGTTCCAGAGTCAAGGCCCGAGTAACATTTATTATCTGTCGGCGCTCACGCACCGTTTCCGGGCAGTCTGTAGACCGCATTCCTGCAACGCCCGGAGATAAAATCCTTCCACGGGTTAGGTAATAATGTTCACGGTGGCGATTCTCTCGGTTTTCGTAAGAAAAGCAACACTGAAATAATTGAGTAATGCTTTTAAAAGTTGTTAGAACTTTAATAAGAAGATATTTCAGTGTAACGCTCAAAATGAGACTGATGACTTCTGAGGAACTACACATGACTGCCCATTATGGTTCTACTTCTATTTTGCAAAAGTGGAAATGTTGTTGTTTGTTATTGTAGTGCCCTCAATTATTGAGTTATTTTAAGGAACGTTTCCCTTCCGATTTTAGAAACCTACTGCTATATTATCCCAATGGGTGTGGAATCGAAGCTTCCACATAATATGTATAGGATCCTGCGTTTTGCTGAGTTAGATAATGTAATGTTCTGACAAACACGTTGATTTCTAAATTGTAAGTATAACCCAACATTTTTGGTCAATAACTCTTTATTACGAAAGTCTAATCTATCAAACATCTGTTTATCCAATTTATACTAGGCTGCCAGGGAAATGGGTTGTTACGAGTTGTATATTTTAAGAACATTGATTATGACGTCCTTAACCTAAATCCAATGACTTTGGTGAAAATCAATAATGTTCAAGGAGTATAATGCACAGCAGAAAACCGATGTCATGTACAATATTGCTCTATACAAGTACTCTCATATCATTTTCACTCCATTTTACCCTTTTCCAAGGAGAACCTCATTAAATTGAACAACTTCAGAGGTTTATGGTGACAATTACATCAACGAAATGTATGACAACGGAAAGAAAAAAATATGGGTCTTGACGAGGTTATTGGTTGAAAAAATTAGATGGAGGTGATCAAGATAGTTTTTTTTATTACGCCAAGGCGTCAAAGATTGAAACTGACCATGAAATGAATGAAATGAACGAAATGAACGAAAGGAAATGAACGAAATGAAATGAACGAAATGAATGAAATGAACGAAATGAACGAATGGAATGAACGACTCTTAGATTCTCGCGTATCCTCTGCATCAAAGACATATACGGAAATTCTTTAACTTAGTTAGCCACTATTAAACACAGTACGCTGTTTAATAGTCACATAGATACGGAGTTAAGTGTGCTACTCTCAGTATCCGCCGAGTTATCCACCATCTCGAATATGGATCTCCAGATAATACGGCAATAAGTGACATGCCCATGAAGGAGAACTACAAGTACAGAGGCCTTCGGCAAGGCATGGACATCAGCCATCAAGTTACGACCTCCGCAACTTCGGGAAAAAAGCCACGTGTTCGAAAGCTTCTCAGAACCAAGCTCAGCGGTAGAAACCTCATTCAGGCTTATCTGCATCTGTACAGTACCAGTAATTTGGTACACTGCTAGAATAATATAGTAGTCGAATGCAGAGGTGGACAATGACATGTTTTCATTTTATTTTAAAAAAAGAGTTTTATAACGCCAAAGATTTATTTTATTTAATTTTATAACACTTCAATCCTTCATTGGGAAATTTGTGAAAAACTACTTCAGGATCTAGGAGTGTAAATATATCTAAAAGTTTAAAATTGATTAAACATTCTACTTCTTTGGAAATAAGTTGTAAAGCCAATGGTGGAGGCACTAAATTAAAAACATATTGAATACTCCAGGCTTGGATAGAAAATGAAATCATCGGCATGTCAGGAATCCACGTTTCTCATCAGATAAAGACAGCGAACACTGATAGAATACATCCAACTTCAAGAAAGACATGATTGGTAGCACGTAAGGAATGTTTCCTTGACCTTGGATGTGTCTGATTCATTAATAGATAGAAACTAGTGATGATACAGAATTGCACAGCCTATCTCATACTAGGTAAATTTTCTAATATCTTTAATCTGGACAAGCTTTTCAGTTTTGCCCCACCCTCTTTCCAGATAACTATCGGGGCGTTAATAATTTGTATTGATTCAATGAATTACTTACCTAATGCTTTGTCCCCGTTGAACAAGTTCTCAAAATGTACTTGCATCTTATCGAGACTTTTGATGGACAAAACAAACTCCGTCACATCGAAATATCGTTTTCCATTTTTCTGAATTTCTTTTCCTTTGGGTTCAAGAGTTGCCTTCATGTTAGCTGCAATAGAAAGCTAAAATTAGCTAATTTAGTTACTTCCGAATAAATTAATTAAATATTTATGTACAAGAAATATCATCCAAATGGAGAAAAATCAAGATTAGTACATAAATATTAATTCGTGGAACTGCTATAAAGTAATTGTGAGAATAAAACATTTTATTTTTAATTGGTGTATATACCGTAATATATGGGAATTCAAAATATACGAAAATCCGAAAATCGCCAACAAACATAAAATAACACAATGAAGGAGGATTTCAAATTTACATCTAGGATGCAATGTATATTATTGTATTTTGTCTCTGAAGATATATGTTTTAACAATAATCTTAAATTGGAAGTAGTACTGCTGAATATCAATTAATAAGTTTAAATTTAGGATCGTACTTTGATAATAAATCCTTACAAATTGCGTTACGTTTTATAGGATTTTACGTTAGTATAAATCTTTTTTCTAGTATTATTGGTAAATTCCGGAGATTTAATTCAGTAATCAAATTTTCTTCTCTGCCTTTTTGAATGTGTTCTGCATCTGAATGCAGAATCAAATAAAAGTATGAAAAATTAATTTGAGAAAAATGTACGGAAATTTAATTTTCATAAAATTGTAGGATTGCAATAAAATTAAGGTTTTAGAATAAATAATCTTTAATATGAGCAAGTCAGATGGCCGAGATCGTTAAGGTAGTAGTGCCATAGGGATCTCGAACGAGAAGACCTCGGGTTTGAGTCCCCACCTAGGACATGGGTGTATTTGTGTTTGTATATATATATATATATATATATATATATATATATATATATATATATATAGTCCTCTCACCCCTCATAATTATCATTGCATCTTCCATACATACACGGCTAACAACCTTGGGGTGAAAAATGAACTTAGCAGAATTGTTGGTCCCCCCTAATAATGTTTTACGAGCATACCGCCCGGAAAAAAAATGACTGGGCCTTGGTGAGTATAACTGCACTCTCGCGTGTTCTATAGAAAGGCCAAATCGCGACGATTTAAAAAAAAATGTTATCTGATTATGGTATGCTCTAAAGCGTGTCAATCAAATCAGTTTCAGTCGCGTTTAAACGCTAATTTTATAAAAAATATCTAGTCGTTTTTCTGAATATGAAATATAAAGAAATTGTGTATTCAGTTGACTCATCCTCAGCATGTTGGTAGAGGTAACTGCGTTCTTTCTGTTTTGGTGGTAGGTGCAGATTTTGCCCCTGTGATGGTTCATGGTTCTGATTTCAAGCCGACCCGAGTTTAGCAAAGGCTGTGAACTCACTGAACGACAGCTTGCAGCGACCTCTGCCAGTGACTGGCAGCAGAAGGATGCGTCCGTCCATTTCATAGTCGGCCTCGAAGTCATTTGTCACAGCGCCATCGAAGGAAAGCGTGTAGTGGCCGAGATCAGCTCTGAAAACAAATAGCAATAATTTACTTGTAATACAAATAAAATTATTTTAACGTTAATGATTTCTTGACCTCGTTGATTAATTATATGAAAATCTTCTTGAGTGGAGGTTAATAAATATCCGTTTAAGTGCTAACGTTAGCCCTGATGAAGGCTGAATAAAATACGGAATGACTCTTGCGGCACTTTAAATGACTGACGTTTTTTTGACCCTCACTCAAAAACATCTTCGCAAAAGAAATTATTTAAGTTATGAAACATAGAAGTTACACAAATATACATATTAAGTAGGTAAAGTATCAAATTGAAGAGATTATTTCAAAAGTGACGTAGATCCATTTATGTTTATGTTCAAGTTTGCATATCAATACATTTTTAAGATGCTTTTCCATCATACCAAATACTGTGCTTCAAAGCTAGCGTTTATTGTAAGTGAAACAGTAGCCGCAAACCGTTCAATACTATCTTAAATTAATAAGGTTGAATGGGAATTCTCTCCTTTTCTGAAAAATTAGGTTTCATCAATATTCGTTACTTTGAAAATAAGATCAATTATGATCAGAGGCGGATTTTAATGACTGATAAAACATCGCCAAAAATGATCAGTAAAATGGTCTTACAATGTTTAAACAATTCCCTAAAAGCAAAGAAAAATGACGTTAATCTTTGTTATCAAAGACAGGTGAAATGAACAACTCAAGCTATTGGATAAGTAACTGAGTAATTGAGTCTTCTTTCTTTCGTTCAAGTGAACACGTCTTGCAAATTTTTGCTATGGACTTTTCATTACCAGCTAACCTGTCATTTTTATCTCTAAATCGGTTGACCCGACAATAACACTGAAAGGGGTCTCAGTAACATTAGATTACATACTCACAATAGGTGACATTACAATTTATGAGCAAAGAAATCGTATAGGCTTCTGAGTACTTCTGTGGAGAACATTTTCTGCATCTCTTAAATATTATTTGTAGCAAGTCCTTTAAAGTGATATTAAAATCGATGAAATTTATAAAAAATGCTTTAGAAATAACGGCAAAAGGAAAAAATTACTTTGTCAATATCGAAGATAAATGCAAAAAATACAATATGAAATATGTCATTTGCTTGTCATAACATAAAATTAATGTATATACTAAAAATCATTAATGGAAAGAGTAAAAAAGAAAAACACACATTTCATTAAAATCCACCTCCTAATTATGATCAAGCTTATCAACGGGTATAGAATTTACTTGATTAGAAACTAGAAGAGCTGACACAATTTGCTATTTTTTCTACGGTCGTCTGAAACGTACGATTTCTTATTTTAACCCCTTCTTTATGAGCAGGGACAAGCAGCGACCCTGCCGCAAACGGAAAACCTTCTGTCCGAACGCTGAAGCACTGAATCCTATCATATGCCGGTAGGTTAGTTTTGAAAATTTAGACCCGTTAGCATAAAACTTTCTCTTCTGCCTCGTTCCACTTTTAATAGGTGAAGGGAAATGTTTTTGATTAAAGAAATCTTTCGGAAGTTTTGCAAATAGAAAGGTACATTAACCCGAAAAGCTATTGTCTTTCAAGGTTACATCTGGTAATTATGTACTAGAACTCCTAGAGAAGTTGATACGTGAATTCTTGGCAGACAATGCACTCTGCTGACGAGAAGTGGAGACAAGTTTTGTATTCTCTCATTCTACGCTCTCGACTCCGCCGCCTATGTCGCACCGCAAATTATCCACCAAGAATGCAGACAGCACTACGTTCGACTTATAAGCAAACATTCACTTACGTAAAATACGACAAAAAACAAGGTGTAAACCTAGAATTCTCAGCAAAAAAATAACCTGTGTCTTTTTGTAAATTTTTACAACTCACGAAGACCAGATTCATAAGATACAGCCTCTCATTCTACACGTCAATTTTACGCAGAAACGATCTTCAACAGCTTAGGTCCCGCGCCAGTCTGATTGACCTCGAAATCGTCAAATCTTTCTTATGTAATGGAAGGAGACACTTCCTTGTCGATTTCTTCCCAATTTGATAAAAGTGAATGTTTACTTATTAGATTGCTATTGATGAGCAAAGAAGAGAGGATGTAAGCTAGGAAAACCAATGGCCTTTAAAGGGTTAAAGCATTACAAAAATAACACGCATTATCCTGAAGTTTATATTTTTTAACTGTAATAATACTGTTTATTATTTAATAAATTGTAGTTTTAAGAGAAAACTGATATATTTATTAATTTGGTAGTAAATTGTAAGTAAATGTTAAGTCAGCGAATGTGAATGGAAGTTGTTGGTTTCAATGTTTTTAGCCCACTATTTATGGCTCGTAATTGTATTTTTGAAAGCGTGAGCTCCTCAAACATTTTCTTCACACCCCGAAATTTATTGTTTCTGTCATGGACCCTTTTTTAATTTCTCGCTTTACTACTTACTTACACAGTAAAGATAAAGCTGGGTAGAAATAAGGTAATGTGGTAGAAATCTGCGGTTTTTTGAAAAAACAAAACTTGTTTTATATGACCTTGGTATCGGAAAAGAGGCTAAATTTCGATTCTTCATTTAGTAAATTACTTCCTTTTGTGTGTCAGAATTCATTTCTTGTGTATCCTCTATACTGAAAAATTGATTAACGGGATAATGTCTGTGAGTCTGTCTCTGGGTCTGTTTTTAAGTACATACATACAGACATACAAATTGATTGAAGGCAAAGCGACTGTGTGTCTATCTGTATGTTACGAACATACATATTTATATTTATGCGTCTCTCGGTGGTGAAAGCTAGATCCTACACGGTTCAGACGATTTTCTCCCATGTTGTAGATATTCTCAAGGCCCTGCAAATTTGAAACCATTATTTTGATTTTTGGGGGCACTTAAGAAGCAAATTTGGTAATATGAGCCATGTATATATGAGCCCCCATTGTACCTGTTCATATATCGCTCATACACTCTAACGGAAACGATTTTAAATACTAGTTTAGGAACTGCTTTTGCAATCATAGCTCTGTAGTTATGTTGTGAATGACAACTGATGTGTAACAGAGGTGTTCGTGTTTTCTCGACTCTGTAAAACTTTGAAAGGCACGAATATTGTTTTTTGTTACAGCAAAGTCAACTGATGTGAAACAAAGTCATAAAATTGAGCGAGTAGCCAAGTGATATAAAATATAATTTTGAGGGTGGAGTATTTGGCAATTGGTCCAAATTAGTCGAAAAAAACAAAATTCAATGCCAAACAATTTTCTAACAGATAGTTTACACCTTCATGCTCAACCTAGTGCAAACATCTAAAAAACACACAATGGCGCTTGGTCAATTGATGCATAACACCCTTCTATTAGAAGAGGTGTTATGCATCAATCAGGAATTTGCGTTTTCTGTACGCTTCTCACAAAGGAGAAACTGTGGGTGCCACAACAGCTTTTACAACAGCAACAGTACTTTCTCACATTATTTGTAACGGTTAGGTGAAATTATTATACTACTTAAAACCTTAAAAGCGTTTTTAGACTGCGAAAAATGTTTGCCAATGGCGAGATTCGAACTTATGAACTCGAAGTTAGTAAGCAATTCATACAACCGCTACAGAAACCGACTGACAACCTTCCCGGCACTTTAAGAAAAAAGTTAGGCATTTGCAAGTGTCGATAATTTAGTATCTATGATAATCGTATAAGTTTGACTAAACAATTAAGAAATAGTAGGTTTGTGACCGTTTCACCTCCATTACTTATTCATTACAGTATGATATAAAAAGGATTAAGAATTGGATTTATGACAAGTAATATTTTGAAATTTGCATATCGATACCTATTGAAACAGGACTTAGTAATATGTGTTATTTTTAAAACTTCCTCACTTTAAAAAAATAATATTCATCTATAATGTCTCATCTAGAATTGTCCTTTTCAAAGCTGTGTTCCAAAATGCGTCGTATTCATTTCAATTTTTCAGTATTTTAGTTGTAAGCACCGATTTCTGTGTATCTAACTCTGAGGGAGAATTCAGTCACAGATCGATTTTGCTTCAAAGACGTACGTGAAGATCACTATCCTATCGGGAGTAAACATGTGATATAACGTTTCTAAATGGCATACTCTGGTTCTGTGGACGAAGGTGCTTGGAGTTTGAACTCTTCCAGCACGTGAGATCTTTACAGATAGGGTTTCAGTTTCGCTGTGAGAATGTTGTTCTTTAGAATTTTTTTGTCACACGGTATCAGTATAGATTCCAGACATTCCAATGCACTTATGTGTGCAGTCACAGTGTGAATACATTTCTTCATGAAGGTGTGAATGGTTGTAAAATGCCAGTCTAAAAAACGAAATACTCAACATCTTAATACAGTACATCGTCGCCACGAAAGGAAAGAAGCAGATCTTATAAATAGGCATTTGATAGTAAAATTCGAGAAGGAGTTTATAAAATAGTATATTTTCCAACACTTTATAAAGATAATTGCCAAGACTCACTATACAACATTAGTCAACTAAATCATGACACTCCTTATATCTCCCGAGCCATGTAATACAGGTAGATATCTTTTACACAATCGATGTCATGGCGCGTGGATACCTATTTCGCCTTCTACCTCCTTTTTTATTAAGAAGACACGGGATAGGCTTTGTTTTACGAAATAAAACCATGTGCTAAATTTTGGGCCTAACCAACGAGCCACGGACCGCGCGCAATTTTTCCTTCCTCTTCCTTGTCCTATCCTCACCCCTTCAACATTCACTTACACTAACATGCGCTACACTACCACTCATGTCGAAGTGAGGAGCAGCTACCACTCATGTCAGGAGCTTAGAGCTTGTCCCGACTAGGGCGGTGTCCCAGATACTTGGTCGCAAGTCGACGTGTATGTCGACGCCAGATCTCACCATGCTACGGGAAAAGATCACTGCCATCTTCTGTGTTAAAAACATGGTCTGCACTTACGGAAATAATGAGTATAGCAGTGGACGCGACCGGAAATACGAAAAGATCAATCCAGAAAATGTAGCATCTG